CTAACAGCCAGAAAAATATTAATACCAATAGACTGTAAATCTAGTTATTATGTGCCTCATTCAAAATTAGTGAGAAAATAAATATGCAAACAGACTTTTCTGAAATACTAACATGAAAGTAATGCACATGTTATAATAAGAGTTTAATAAGATTATGTAGAATAGCTATTCTCAATTATCTTTTATCCTTGTATTTTCCAGTAACTGATATCAATGTAATTACTATCTATTTCATTAAATTTTAATTAAATACCTAAGCATTTAACAATCCATCATTATAAATTTTTGCACAGTATCATTATACTAAATAAACATTTAGGTCAGAATTTTTTAAAAAGTAGCAGCAATTTAAGTTACGCTTTTATATCTATATTTAAGCTCTATATCTAGCAATTGAATTTCAAAATTACTAAAAGTCACGTAGCTCCCCTTGAAAGAAAACAATAAACTATCTAGTAATATTAACAGTTGAAGGATTAGACCCAGAAGCTATAGAGTTTATGAATGGGCCTAATTCTCTTCCCCAGCCCTCTTTTGCTATTTGTGCTTTCTCCTTAAACATTTGAAGTGTCACCTTTCACAGACTTTCAAAAATGATTAAATATGTATAAAAAAAGTACATCTTTCACCTGTGTAAACCACTGGAAAATCCTTAACTATCCGTCTGCTGATTTCACAAGACTTTTTCTATAGCCAACATATATACTCTAAGAGTAAGGATAAGACTGTCAAGGACACGAAATGCAACTAGGAGCTAACAGCCAGCAAAATCTGGCAGACAGGTACCTAACTCTGGTATAGGTTTGAAAACTTCTTCCTTAAGACTCAGCCATATGTTATAGATCTAACAAAAAATGAAAATGAAAAGCAGCCTTATACCATTATTCCTTTTTTATCCCACTAAATTAACTTTAAGAGTATTCTTAAAAGAAAGTAATCCTTTCCTAAAAACTATTTGATTAATCCTCTTCTAGTCTTGTGAAATAAAACTGGAATAAGGTCAACCATCTTAAAGTATTGGCACTTGAACCTCTCCTATCTTACATAGAAAGTGAAACTACAACAATCCAACATGAAAACATCTAGTAATTCAGGTGACATCAACTAAGCAGTAGCCTTGATTCTATTAAAAAGAAATAACCTTTCTTTTTTATTATCACATCATACACACGCAGAGAAAACTCAGCTGGAATACAAGGTGAGTGAACTAATGAACTTAATTAACACACAGAAAATAAAAGAACTACCCTGCAAATGTGTGTGTATAATGAAACCGCTCAGCAAATGAACCAGTAGTCATAACGAAGTTTTGTATGACTTCTTCCTGTCACTGGAGTCAGAGGTATGAAAACTGGGTAGGAACCAAGCATTATAAATCTTTCTTGATCCTAAAATTATTTTTTTTTTTAAAGTTTGTAAGAAACGAAGTGCAAGTTACTTTTACTGCTCCATTGAGAACTCCAGCATCAGTTCCACTGCTGAGCACCCTGAGATTACCGAAAACCAGAAATAATGCAACACTGTAATAGATCTTGCCCTCACTCTGTTCAGATGGTAACAATACTCTATGCATTTCTACCCTAAGAGCTCAGATACAATCACATAAATAGTACGATATCATAGAGAACTCAGGTGCCAACAGAGACCACATGACTGCAGTTTAAGCGTGCTTTACCACCTCGCTAGTAACTGCATAAGAAGAGCAGCTGGGTATCACATCGGTGTGTTTTTACACAACAAAACCTGTCCAGTTTCTAGTGGTTTGAGGAAATGTGGTGGGAGGAGAAAGCCTCTAAACCTATGTGGTTGTATCGGCTGCATATGCCGATATACAAATTCTTAGGTATATGACAGCTCCAGGGAAGAGTTTTCCACTTCAGAGCCTCTTCCAGGGGTCTGAACACAAACTCCACCACAGTGTTTCTGTGATTCATAACAAGGCAGTTTATATCTTAGGAAACACATACCCAAGCACAAAGGAAGTAAATGATCAGGAGGCCAAATTTCAGTTAACAACAATGATTACAAATTATTTCAAATTTCTTTTTAATAGATTGCCCCCTAACAGAAGGGGCAATCTTTTTAATCTTTTCCCAAAAATTTTTCTCTGGCAAACAATTAAGTCAACAAAACTAAAAGATGGTTGTAGAATCACTTCAAAACCTGTAACATCCAATACTCTTGCTGGGTCTGTGCTTGGCAGTTGGCCCCTATATTGTTTTTTTCATTGTGTTAAAGCCACAAAATAAGGAGGAATTACTTCAATTTGAACAAGCACAGAGAGAGTGTCCTGTATAAAGCAAAATGAGCGATCCTTTAAGACTACAGAAATATTGTGACAAGGCAACTTGCTGTAGCAATACAAACGGTAATTTATCTTATATCCTCAAATACATTATTAGGCATGATTAAAGATAGTAATTTCACTTAGCAACAATTTGAAAAGAGTCTTTAACAACACAGAATAACTTGAAACCATACCCACCAGGTGAGAAAAGGCTGGATTGGGTTAAAGGTTCAAGTACAAGTAACATTTAGGTGGTCATTTCCTCTAACTTGCTAAAACTGCAGCTCTTGGTTCACATCCCTAACAGAAGAAAGAATCTCCCAAAGCCCAAATACTGCAGGGTAAACCTTTAAAGTCAGTTCTCACCGATTCTTAGTTTGGCCATTACTTAAACATGCAATATATAATGTTGATGAGTTAAACATCAAACATTTCACCCATTTTGATTTATTTCTTTCAATTCACTGGGAATTTTATTTATGTTTATAACTACAAGGGGTTTATTGGTGGTGCCAATAGATTCAGTCCAGGGATAGATAGTTGAGTGCTTAGACCATTATACTGCATTACAGTATATTGATTAGAATACCTATGGAATTACTAAGGACGAAACTAATAATGTTACTAAGAAAAACGCCCAGAAGGGATCAGGTCTAGCCTAACCAAATAATATGGTTTCAGCATTGCTGAAGAGAATACCAGCAGTCTAAAAGATGAACTCTTCCAGTTATTTTTTTTTTAAAATTGCTGTTTTTTCACCGTCAATAAAAATATTAATATAATTTTATTTCTCCCCTATATCATTTTTATGTACTGACACAATATTATCTATACTGTCCTCAAGACATAGAAGGTGACATTGGACCAATAAAAAACACAAAAGCACTTTCTTTATGTGCTTTCTGAATTTCCAGAATATCTGAGCACAAAGAGCGCAGACTGGTGCTGTATCACATACCACTAATTCAAAGCATTTAATCCTGTCTTCCACACATCGGCCAAGGCAATACAAATGCCAAAAAATTCCTCTTTGATAGCAGAATTATATACACTGTATATTATATAAGCCTTCTGTCCCCCTCCACTTGAATGTACACTATCAAATCATTCTGGCCATTATTTTATATTGAGCAGATGGTATTATGGGATTTTTGATAAAGAACAACAATCACCCAGCAAGGGCTGCAAGGGGGTCGCTGAAACCAAGATTAACAATTGATTAGCTTTAATGGACCGTGATAGTAATAAACAACAGAGCTCTGACAAACAAAGATTTGATTGTCCTGTTAATGCTGCTGACACAAATGGCTTTTAACTGGCTTCCTGAAAGTGTTAATATCTTCAGAGCCTCAGCAAATGAAGGACTTTGTCAAAGTGAGAACTATCCTGCAGTGAAGAAGCACTTATCGTAGACCTCTAAAAAATCTTCTATAAAGTGTATTTCTGATTTATTCAGACAATAGGTCCTATTTCTCCAAGGCTTAAAGTTAAAAAAAATAAAATGCAGCACACCTCTGCAAGGCTGGAATGTAACAGAACTCTAAAGCATTTGAATACAGAAGCCAGCATTCACTGAATACAACAATAATATGAATTATCACTTTCAAGGAGCTCATTTTATCCTTACTCCAACATGGGCTGGCAGATCTCAGGATCACAGCCTTCTAAATTCAATTTTTTATTCTTAGCTCTGAAAAGTTCACTCTGGGTTTTTTTTCCTTTCTGCACAGAAAACAGCAATTTGCATCATATTTTCATTAAAATAAAATGTTCTGTGATTACTGGAAGTAACCATGGTAAAATCTGAAAATAGAAGTTACAGATCTGTATATTTCTTAGATACATGTATGGGAAAAAGTCTACGGAAAGTCTCTGTTTCCCTTAATGCTTAAGCTCAAAATTTAAATGGACGTATGGCAAATATTCACAGAAGGTTTTAAAATTAAATCTAGATAGCTAGAGACAAAGTAAACAAAACTCCACCTTACATGACATTCAAGAAACCAAGGATATAGGAATTAATTAAAGGTAAGGAGGTATTTACGCATTTAAGTATTGAGTAACACTTTCTATTAAACTTTCCATTTTAGCTTAGATTACTTGGTTTCTAAATTAACCTGTTTCTTTAATTATGTGTCTTATTTAAGCAAAGGTTTTTCTTTCAAACATTTTTATCTGTGAGCTGCCACAGTGCTTCTCCCTCCCGTGTCATTCCTAAAGGCAACATTTTGAGACAATAATGGTACGGCTCTAAGGGCTTCTACGTAAGAGAAAAAAAATGTTGTCTGCTCTAGAGTCAGATCCAAACGCAAACCATTTGCACAAATCAAGGTCATACTAATCCCATCCCCGTGGGTCCCACCCCTGCTGCAAATTCAACTCTCTACAGAACAATTCCTTGCCAGTACGCTGCAACGATGAAACATGCTGCTAATTACTGTGTTTAAAAATCTTGACCTAAGCAGACATGCAGGGAATTTAAATGAAATCTCTAAAAGAGTAAAATCCACCTGCTTGGTCTCCCAACACACAAACAGTAAATGCGTAACCTGCCAAATACTGAGCCAGCCTTCATTAATTCTGTTTTCTGTAATCAGCATCCTTCTATTACTCACATGCTTGGCTTTCTACAGCAGTTCTTCAAGTAAGCTATTGTATAAACTGTTATAGTATACTCTGATGATAAATATTTAAGAAAATAATTATTAATTACCTGTAAGTCAGCATCAAACTCATGTTTCAGGTAAGCATCTTCTGCAGCTTCAACGAGACGCTGAAAAAAGAAAACAACATGTATTTTTGAAATAATAGATAACAATTTTAAATCCAAGTGTTTCTTCCAGTATAACAACAGGGATTGTTTGAGAATTGTGTAATTCATTGTCACCACATGATACCTGCTATGATACTTCATAGAATAGAAATAAATGATCCAAATTAAAAAAACAAAACAAAACAAAAAAAGATCAAGTTTTTTAAACCCTCAGCATCCATGATTGGTGATACAAAACTCTCAAAACAGCTCAACTACTAATAAACAAATTAGAAAAAAAAAAATAATTCCACTAGTGCTCAGCACCCTGCAGCTCCCATTCCAATACTGATTTTCGAAAGAACATAAAATAAAAGTTGCTTTCACGCTGGGCCTTATTTTGCACATAGGAGCCTTTTTTAAATCTTTCTTAAAATTAAAATAGGAGGTATTTCCTACTAATGCACTTGATTGCAAGCAACTGAAATAGAAAGGAATTTCTAAATAACACATCAAATAGAAAAGATTAGAAAAATAGAGATTAGGTTTGTTTACTTAGCAGATTTGAAGTGTTGTGCATACTACCTTAACATGGTACATAATCACAAGAAGATTTTTCCGCTATTACAGAAGTAATATTTACTGAATGACAGCAATTCAGTAGTATTTTTTCCTCTTAATAATATTCAGAACTCCCTGTAGTAGTTATTGTTCCTTACAACTATCATCTGAAGGAAAAAAGGAGTTGCACTAAAGCACAGCTACCTGAAAAATATAATTCATATAGGGGTTTGCTGCAGATATTCTCTTGTGGAAAGACATTATATCCTTTCTAAGGTTTTATTCAGGGTTGCTTATAGTTCTCAATATTTTAACTACAGAAGTAACTCCTTCTGGTTTTTATTTAATCTACCTGAACATTCATATATGTACAACCCAAAATTAATCAAAGAATGATCTGTCACAGAATATTCAATATATTATTTATATTTTCTTTGATCTATCAGACACTGGTACACATGTATATTTTCAAATATTTTGTATCATGAAGCAAGTGAGCTACAGGCCTTATTAACGATACACAGAGTGGACAGCCGTGCACACTTTTGCTTCCCTTTTCAGAACTGTATGCACTTCTATATCCAAGTCTTTGGATATAAATCAAAATGGAAACAGAATTCATATTGATTGCTATACAATTTGAACTATAATGGAAATTGAACCAAGAAAAATATTTCTGGTTGCCAATTCAGAGTAAATGGTTCAACAAAAGCTGACAGTTTAAGGCAGAGCCTTGTGGGTTACAGGGAGCATTTGTGTTCACCGAGCACGTCACAGCCTTTCCTTCCACATCTCTGTCTCATCGCATCGCTTACCCATGGGTGAGCACAAGCCTCACTAAATCCTCCATTCTCTCTTGGGCTTCTGCATCTTCCCTGCAGACCCCAGTGGGAGGGTTTTTCATACCTTTTTCCTTAGTGCCGCGTTACAGATCTCAAAGATTTGATGAAAAACTGGAAACGCTACTGATGCCTAGGTTGATACAGAAGACCAAGAGATAGCAGATGAAGTCCACCTTCCCAGAGCCCTGCGCTGTGTGTACAGCCCCGTCATTTGACTGTTTCCATCTTTAAAAATATTGTCCCATGTAAACCCAGCTGGTCTTAGCAAACTCTTTTGACCTAAACTGGAACTGAAATTCCAACCCCGGGCAAGTCAAACCAGAACTGAACTGAAAAATGTACCGGTTCACCTTCCCGCATACACATACGTGGTAAAAGAAGCCAACAACTAACGATGCATCGCAACAGGCTACGTGAGGAGAAGCCATGAAAAATATTCCACATAAAACAGTGAAGTTCTATGGAATTGTTCCTACTGTTCCTGTACTGTATGAATAGTAGTAAAAACAGACCTTGTGATTCGAAAGGTTATCAAACATTAATTTGACCTACAATTTTTTTGCATTTAGAATTTAAAAAGAGAAGTAGCACAAATTAACTATTCTGAGGGGGAAGCCTCACAGCAACTGAAATAGATTATTAAACACCTGAATGCTCTCAGAAGTCCAGCATGTTAGTGACCTGCTGAAGGTATTTTACAAATCTAGCCCTCATTTTTTAAGTATGGAAAAGACATTTTATATAAAATAACTACTCTAATTCAATGTATTTCTACAGGTGTGTACTCCTTTATATCGAAACCATAGTTGCACTACTACTCTGTGCACATCTAATACAAAAGATCACAACTCTGATGAGTCTGAGAGGAAAAAAAGTGAAAGAAGGGTCAAAAAAACCTCATCATGCAGAAACGAATACAGGGAAAAAAGAAACATGTTTTTCTTTCTGTGCAGAAATATTTACTTACTCACCAAAAGAAAAATTATTCTAGTAGTTCATGAGATACCAGTGCCTAGATATTAGCACCTAGTGGGCTAGAAAAATAATTCATGGCTTCTTATATAGTTTGTATTGATCCCAATGCGTTTCAATTACATTTTTGTCTCAGTGAAATAAATTTAAACTAAGATTTATCCCCCCATGTAAGAAATAGCTAGAGAAGCATAAGATGGGTAATAGTAGAAACATCTGGTAAGGAGGGCAGCTCAGAAATGAAAAGTACTGATGGATACTTTATTGATTTATTCATTAAGATTTCAGTTGTTACATTTGTTCTTTAAAAAAAAAAAAAGTTACCTACATTTCAGCAACATTCTCTACAGGAAACAGAACAACGAAAAAGCAAACAATTTACCAACACGTATTTTTCCTTGAAGACGTAGACACAAATACGCACGCACACTACGCGCTTCACCCTCATAAATCTAATAAGAAAATCAAAATTTTGGTACACTGAATGTAGACAACACAAGCATATGCTGAATTTTCTATGTAATAGTCCTTAACCAGTTTGCTTTAAATATCTCAAATTATGATGGAGACTGTGAAAAATCTGGGAGAGCTACAGAAAAGGTAAGCTAGTAGTAAGCCTAAATCCACAAAATGACATATTAGTGGATATATACAGATGATATCAGAATGAAAAAATTGTATACAAGTGTTTGGGGCTTTTTTGTTGGGTTTTTTGGGTGGTTTTTTGGTGTTTTTTTTTTTGTTTGGTTTGGGTTTTGGTTTGTTTTTTGGTTTTTTTGTTTTGTTTTTTTTTTGAAAGAAGTCCCCAAAGGGATGAAGCATGATGGAAGAAATTCCTTAACACTCTGGAGGCAAAAATATAAAAACCACATGTAATACTGCAACATTTTTATACTGAGGCGAAAAATCCCTTTTAAAATATTTTAATGACTGAACAGTTATTTAGCAATGATTCTCAACGTTAGCATGATTAGCAATTTTAACTTAATAGTTTATAATGACACTCTTAATACAAATGCCAATATATTTTCATTTGAATAAACATGCTCTAAATCATCGCTGTAGCAAATAAATGCTTACCAAGATGTGGTTATCCTGAAGGGAATTGTGAGTTATCTATATGCACTTACATGGAATGAATTATGAACACTGAGTGAGCACTGTTACACTTACACCATTTAAGGGTCTATATTTTAGCTCTACATGTGGAAAGGTATTTGCATGTGCATGCACAGACAAGTCAAGGGCAGCATATAATCTTTAGATAAAGAACAATTTTCAGGTTCTATGGCACAGTTCAATTGAGGTTCCCCCGCTTAAGGAACTAATCCTTATAACTTTCCCAATACGTGTAAATATGAGAAAGAAATATGGATAAAAACAGGGCATGAACCAAGAGAAGGAACAAATATCACACCCCAACCCCAATATAGTCACCAAAACACAATGTCAATGTTTGGTATTTTTAGTAGTACTAGTATCACAAATAATGTAGAGAAGGCTGAGAGAAGAAAAAGAAATGTTTGCTTCCTCTCAGTAACATTTAAAAACAAACAAAAAAGCCCAAAACTGAGCTATCTCTCAATAGGATAATTTTCTTGACAAATGGTATTTTAATTTCCGTGAGTTGATATTCCCAGATAAATTCTCATTCAAGTTAGGTTGTTATAGAGACAGCAAAGGAAAGGTGAATGAAACAGAATGGATGAGGGAAAAATAGAATCCAACAGAAAGTAAGAGGAAAATGAAACAGATGGGCAGAAAGGTGAAAATAAATAAAGACGAAAATAACAATTTCAAGGAAAAGCATCATGCAAACATCCAGACCATTTTAGCTTCTGAGAAGATCTTTACTCTTTCCATGTGCCTTGTAAGGGTTTCAGTTTACTTTTCAATGATTCTTCTTCATTAAAATCCCATTTTGAAGTTAGATTAAATAAATTCATAAGCATAACAGAGTTTGAAACAGCTTCTGATCTCCTGCACTGCAGAGGGTCACTAACCTTTATCCATAAATGCTGACTGAAGTTATGTTCCTCTCTCTCTTCAGCTATCAAATCTCGAAGAAGCACATTTATATTTCATTGTTTCCTTTCTATTTTTCTTAAGATAAACCAATTGCGACACATAAAACCAGAAACGCTGCTAGAAATTGCTCTTCTCCAAACAAAACTGCTACAAATTTCAAAAAAGGATAGAAGGCTTCTCTACCTTAATTATAACTAGTACCACCAACTAGGTACTGATATTATCTCAGTCCATAACATTAATAGTTTATATTCCATAAGATCAATATGATAAAATTTAATTTCAAAATAGGAAAAAAAAAAAAAAAAGCTATATTGTGATGTACTTAAACAGAAAATGAAAGATCTACCCTCTCAATTGTAGATGCTCCTTTACTCAGTCCCAGGCTCATGCCTCACTGCTACAAAAACAACCAAGCATAGCTTCAGTTCTGTCGGTTAAAAAAAATGTGAGCTTGTCAGCAACCCTTCTACTAATATATTCTTACCAAACTCACTAGACTCTGCCTCAACATCTCTTTCAGTTCATTGTATGAATCTTGCCAGTTTGAGCTGTTACCTCTGTATTGTCGCAGAATTATCATTTTAGGCCTATGAGAATTTCATCCAGAGTACGCCC